CTGCTGCCAAACTCCATGGCATGTAATACAAACAATTTGGTCTGACTCACTTTTATGGGCCTAGAAGATTCTTGTATTTATCTCTGCTCACTCACATTTTACCAGTTCTTTCAGACCTATTTCAAAGATCATTTCTTCCATGAGACCTCAGATCTTCTGCAAACAGATGTGAAACTTGAACTGCCACTGTACTTTACTTGCGTTCATGTTGTTGTTTTTTAGTCGTTAAGTCATGTCATGTCTGACTTCTTTGTGACTCCATGGACTGTAGCATGCCAGGCTCCTCTGTCCATTGGATTTCCTGGACAAGAACACTGGAGTGGGTTGTCATTTCCTTCTCCGAGGGATCGTCCCTACCCAGGGATGGAACTCACGTCTCCTGCTTGGCAGGCGGATTCTTTAGCCTGAGTCACCTGGGATGTATTATTTCTCAAACTTACTTTCTCTGAGCTGTTGAATTAATTAAACAAGGAGGCCATTAGATGGAGGGGGCTCTGTGTCATGGAAGCCTGTGAAACTAAACCAAAATCGCAGCCTGGAAATGTCTCAAGGTTATGAAATAAAATTGCTAAGGACAACCAATCACAGATAGCCAGCTAGGCTCTAAACTATGATTAATGTAATCATTTCCTTTCTTTGCTTCTGCACTTTTTCTGAAAGTCCTTCCTGTGGCTCCCAATGGCAGAGAGCTGCTAATCATTTCTGGTTGGGTGCTATCTGATTTAAATACACTTTTGCTCATATAGTATTATAAATACAATGGATAAGCAATAAGTTCTCTATACTATACTATACTGTATACTGTTCTCTATACTATACTGTATAGTATACTATAAAGAAAAATAATACATATATACATATAACTGGATCACTTTGCAGTATAGCAAAAATTAACATTGTAAATCAACTATAATACAAAAACTAAATTAAGAAAAGATTTTTGCTCAAATATACCCTTAAATTTAAAAATTTCCTCAGTTTATGTTTTAAAAGTGCTTTCTCATTAAACATATGAAAAGGGGAAAAGAGAAATCAGAAGTTAAGCCAAATCAAGAAGAAGACAAGATTTCTTGTATGAGTCACATATTTCAGAAGTGTGTATTGAACACTTATCACGTATAAGGTATTATAGATTCTTTGAGTATATCAGTAAAAATGAAATTCCTGCCCCATGGCAAGGCTGGGGTTAATAAAATATTCATTGCATTGAACTCTGAACCTTACTGCAGTTTATCATTTGTATTGCTCTTTCATGAGTACCTTTTACCGTTTACAAGTTACATAATATGTATGTGTGCTCATGAAAAAAATTTAAGCCCTGTAAAAACAAGAATTGTATTTTACTTACCTTTTACCACATTTAGAACCTGATCTAAGTGACAGTATATAAATGGACACTCAAATGACTGTTGATTCAAATCTGACTACTTCAGTCTGATAAGGATTGTAAACCCTGGTGAATAGATACACGGCTAAAGCCGGTGATGTAAAGGAGAGAACTGGCTGGAGGTGGCAAAGTTATAAAAGGCTTGCTTCAACTAAACAGGGAGGCTGGCACTGAGCTCCAAACGTTTGTAGCTTTTAGGAATGCTGCCTTCAGAGATGCTAATGGCAGGATCTGTGAAGGTGCACTTATCTGAGTTGTAATGCTTTGTATTCCAGCTCCCAGATAACTAGATAGAAGACTCTAGAAAAGGTCTTACCTTTCTGTGTTTCACCTACAGTAATTCATCACTGAGATGTTTCATGATTAAGTGCCACCATTTTTTGGAACACCTGTAATGCAATAACAACAATGCCTAGAATGTACCAGAGTAAGTCTCCCAGTTGTGTCCTACTTTCTGCGCCCCCATGGACTGTATAGTCCATGGAATTCTCTAGGTCAGAATACTGGAGTGGGTAGCCTTTCCCTTCTCCAGGATATCTTTCCAACCCAGGGATCGAACCCAGGTCCCCCACATTGCAGGCAGATTCTTTACCAGCTAAGCCACAAGGGAAGCCCAAGAATACTGGAGTGGGTAGCCTATTCCTTCTCCAGCGGACCTTCTCAACCCAGGAATTGAACCGGCGTCTCCTGCATTGCAGGTGGATTCTTTACTAACTGAGCTATCAGGGAAGCCCAGAATGTACTAAGTGTCAACTAAAATCGGCAATTTCTAATTCTTCAATAGAAGTTATAAAACCACATACTGATGTGAAATCCTAATGTTCGTAACTGATAACTTCATCAAAGTTCTAACTATAGCTGTGCATTTTAAAAATATTAAAAATAGACATAGGGCCACCAGTTCTCAATCTTTGTGAGACTTCTATTTTAGTGTCAATGTTACATAATTATTCAATCAGTTAATTAAGTACTAGGGCTACTGCAGTGAATAAAGTTCTTTGCTCCTGTGGCTCATTCATTCTGGTGGCGGTGGTGGCATGCAGGAGTGAGGGAGAAACAGGTAGAATGACCGTCAATAAACAAAAACAAAATATGTTTGGGAGTGATAAGTTCTGTGGAGAAAATTCACTTGGGAAAGGGAGAGAGATACCTGGAGTAGGATGGGGAAAGGTAGATTATCTTAGGTAAATGGTTAGAGGATGACCCTGAAAAAACAAGGAACTGGAGCAGAAAATGGAAATAAATGAGTGGATGAGCCACGAGGCCAACTGTGAGCTCTTCCAGTGAAATAGAGTAAATGCAGCAGGCCGGCACTGGGAACACAGCTCGTGTTTTCGAGGAGTACCTAAGAGTACAGTGTGACCAGAGTCTAATGAGAGAAAGGGAGATGAGGTCAGAGAGATTGTGGGAGCCAGAGCGCATGGAACTTTTAGGTCACAGCATGGACTTTAGCTTTTATTCTGAATAAGACAGGTGGCTTAAGCAATTCAGGCTGCCATAGCAGAATATCATAGACTGGATGGCTTACAAACAACAAAGATTTAGTTTTTAGAGTTCTGGAAGCTGCAGCTTTGAGATCAGGGTGCCAGCATTTTTGGGTTCTGCTGACAGCCCTCTGTAAGGTGGCAGGAGGCCATTTCCTCACATGACAAAGAGTGTAAGAGAGATTTCTGGGATCTCTTTTTTTAAGATCAATAATCTCATTGACGAGGGCTCCACCCTCATGACCTAATCACCTTCTGGAGGTCTCATCTCCTAATATCATCCCTTTAGGGGTTAGGATTCAACCTACTCCTTTTGAGGGGACACAGAGTTTCAGTTTATAACAACAACAAAAAAGATTGAAAGATTTTAGCGGAAGAGTGACATGATTAAGTTATGTTTTTCAAAGACCTCTCTAACTGTTACATTGAGTTTCTCTGGTGACTCAGTTAAAAAAACAAACCAAAAAAATGGCCTGCCAATGCAAGAGACACAGGTTTGATCCCTGGGTCAGGAAGACCCCCTGGAGAAGGAAACGCAACCCACTCCAGTATTCTTGCCTGGGGAATCCCCTGGATAGAGGAGCTACAGTCTATGGGGTCGCAGAAAGAGTGTGACATGGCTTGGTGACTAAATACCAAGAACAAAACTAGTTGTTAAGACGAGACTGTGTGAGGCAGGAATGCAGAGAGAGCAGTTAAGAGGTTACTGTAATAATCCAAAAGAGCTTATGGCAAAACTGAATTGGCAATTAGACCTCTGGCTGGTGAGACTGAGTAGTTAGTTGTATATATAAATTTGGACTTGTGAGACTAGCTCAGGCAATGGAGTATCTGGAATTACCAGTGATGGAATCTAAATCATGGTGTTGAGTGAGGTCACCACAGAAATGAGGGTTGATGAGAAGATGTGAAGACAGAGCCCTAGGATGCTCTCTACATGTAGAGGATGAGAAATTGAAGATTTAGCAAAGGCAAATAAAAAGGAGTCATTCAAGCATCATGAGAGAGTAAATAATTCGGAGGCCAAATTTTGGAAATGTTTTTAGGAGGATCTGCCAGGCAAATGCTCTCAACAAACTGAGTAGTTGAGGATTGCAACTGACCTTTGGGCTTGGCAACGTCTTGGCAAGGGCAATTTTAGTAGATTTATGGAAATAAAAGTATGAATAGAATGCATTCAAGAGAGAATAACAGGAGAGAAAGTTGAAAACATGACTTTAAGAATGCTTTCAAATGTACTGTAATTCATTTAAATTCTTTCCAAATTTATTGTACAGAAAACTGAGGCAATAGCTGGAGAGAAATATAGGGTGATGATGTTACTTTTTGCTGCTGTTGTTTCTGACTGGTTTTAAAAGATGTGGGATATAAACATTTTTATCTGTTGAGAGGAATCATCTAGTAGAAAGAGAGGCATCGGGGTTTGTAGGAGGTAAGTTTTTGGTGCATGGTTTGGTAAGTTTTCACACATTTATAGAGCTGTGTAGCCATCACCGGAATTACGATTCCACTTGAAAAGCTCCTTCAGGCTGCCCCTTTTCAGTCATGCGTTCAAACCACCCCAACTCTTGGCTACAGCTGATCTTTGCTCCATGGCTAAGCTTTTGCCTTTTTTACTCAGTATTTCCCACAGGGTTTCTACCACTCCAGGGGAATTCCAGAAACCTCTTACTTACTGTCTGGGTGAAGGTGGTAATATTAACCACTTCCTTGTGGACAGGTCCTGAGAGGAACTGTGTTGAAATAAAGGAACTTAATCTGATGATTCACCCTCTGTGGGCACAAGCATATGTGGCAAGATGAAGTGGGAAGGAAGAATCAAATATTCATACTCATTTCTATCTCTTTTCCTAGGTTATCTCTTGCCATCTCCTGTTGTGATGGGTATCTCAAACTGCATTGACAGATGTGAAGACGTCCAGAGATCAAGGGGCCCTGGTCTACATTATATCATTCAAAGATGCTGTTCTTATCACAAAACAGGACAGACTCAAAATGGGTATAAGAGATCAAGCTGATTGTTTTCCTGCCTTGGAATAATACTAACAATTCAAGCTCTATGAGGACTAAGCTTGGAGGCTGAGCTGGTGACCATCTTCAGGGGTCATCTGGCCAAAGGAAAGTCATAGATGGAGAAGAAGCACATGGCAGGGAGGTATGTGGACCTTTAGGAGGGAGCTAATGGCTAGAAACCCCAGTCTACTGTACGGGTGACCGTGGTGTCACCTGCAGGAGCCAGCACCCCATAGCACCAGTGCTATAGAACAACAAGGGGGAAGGCAGCTCTCCCTCCCGCCATGGGTGTGTGCTCAGTTATCTGAACAGGCTTGTCCTTCTTAGACTTCACCCCTTTCCATAAGTACCTTTAGATTTAAATGATTTTAGATTTAAATAATTTAGGCAATAAAATGAAGAATTAAAATTTGGACTTGGTTGAATTAGTAACCTTGATAAATGATTTTAAACTGAATTTACTCCAATACCATTTTTCTGGAGGCAAGTTGGGCATTACTTTTTTTTTTTTTCATTTATTTTTATTAGTTGGAGGCTAATTACTTTACATCATTGCAGTGGTTTTTGTCATACATTGAAATGAATTAGCCATGGATTTACATGTATTCCCCATCCCAATCCCCCCTCCCACCTCCCTCTCCACCCGATCCCTCTGGGTCTTCCCAGTGCACCAGGCCCGAGCACTTGTCTCATGCATCCAACCTGGGCTGGTGATCTGTTTCACCCTAGATAATATACATATTTCAATGCTGTTCTCTTGAAACATCCCACCCTCGCCTTCTCCCAGAGTCCACAAGTCTGTTCTATACATCGGAGTCTCTTTTTCTGTTTTGCATATAGGGTTATTGTTACCATCTTTCTAAATTCCATATATATGTGTTAGTATACTGTAATGGTCTTTATCTTTCTGGCTTACTTCACTCTGTATAATGGGCTCCAGTTTCATCCATCTCATTAGAACTGATTCAAATGAATTCTTTTTAATGGCTGAGTAATATTCGATGGTGTATATGTACCACAGCTTCCTCATCCATTCGTCGGCTGATGGGCATCTAGGTTGCTTCCATGTCCTGGCTATTATAAACAGTGCTGCGATGAACATTGGGGTGCACGTGTCTCTTTCAGATCTGGTTTCCTCGGTGTGTATTGGGCATTACTTTTCTTCTCACTCAAATTGGTGACTGTAGAATTGAAACCTCTTGTGCATGTCTAGGGTCAGAAAGATTGACTGTGAAGCCCAGAAACCAGCTTTTGAGCCAGTTATGACTGGACTGCCAACTTCTGACTCACCCAGAAATCTTCCTGATGAGTGAGACCTGGGTACCTCCTTATCCCTGAAGGCTGAGGCTTCCTTCAATTGAAAACCGTGTTACTAAGATTTCGTCTAAAATGCAGTACCAATGTCAGCTCAATGCTTTAATCATAAAGTATCTATTGAATCATGATCAGTTTTAAAATATCTTAAGGGTTAAACTGTTTATGAATTTTGTTTTCATAAGGAGAGAGTAGAGCTGAGGGAAGGTGCCAGGGCAAAGAGACGACTCACAGCTCTACGCCTGCCTCTTTGTACCAGCGAGAAATGCTACCAAGTAGAGCGGAGCTTCCTGGGGCCGGGAGTGAGTGTTCTGCAGCTCCCAGTGCAGCCCAGGAGTCTCATGGGCCCCCGAGGGCCCGAGCCCTAACTTTGAAAAGCCTTTCCCCAGGACCCTGCACTCTTCAAGTTCTTTTCCCAAGCTTAAGAAGGAAAGAATCACCCAGGGAGCCTGTTAAACATGAGGTTTCCGGTTTAGCTGTCCTGGATTTCTGCATTTTTTTTTTTTTTTTAAACAAGCACGAACCTCCGTTTGAGTAAAGACACCACAGAGGACTTGGTTAATGAGTTCCGGCTGCGCAGCTTGAACCGCACGCGGTCAGAAGCCTTCGCAGTAAGGGACCCCAATTACTGTCACTTTCCTGCGCTGATGCACACTCAACAGGCTCGGCAGGCCCCCGGCTCTCCACTCCAGGGCTGAATCAGCAGTTAAGCACTCTATCCTTTGGAAATTCTCCACTCCTGTGGATTTCTGTTTCAACACCGAAGAACCAATGTCCTCAACTTGCGCCAGCAGGAGTTTCACATCCTGGTGCTCACCTGCCATCTGGTGGCAGAGGAAATTTTCTCCTTTCTTCTGCTGTTTTCTCCACAGTTAACAACTCAGAGTGTTTGGTTAGTGTAAAATGTAAAAGGTGCGTGTTTTTGTTTTTTTTTCCTAAAGTATAAAGATGGGGGAAAAGAATGAACAAATGCTGTTGCCAGACTGTGCCTTGGTGCCTTACCTGGCAAGCGCCTTACCTGGAGAGGGGGTGTTTGAGGGATTCATTTCAGGGCAGGAGGTCCTGTTCTCCTCAGAGTAGCTCTGATGTCAGCTTCTCGGGTACCAGGCTCCTGTCCCAACTCTAGAGGAGTTGGGGCATCCTGGGGCTGGCATTGAATTTAGGGATGAGCCAAGGCAAGGTTGGATATATCAGGTCCTGTACTCTGGAAAGTTGTGATAGGAAAAAGACATTCTATCAACATTATATACTGATAAAGAGTCATTAATCCATGAGAATTCTTAATAGTGGGATCCAGGGTCTACTTTTTATCTTACAAAGCAGCCTTGTGAATCTAAACTGAGAAAACGATGCACCCTATGGCACTCAGGCCTTCTGGGCACAACTGTGTTTACACTTACTTAAATTGTGCATTTTCTAGATTCTCTTGAATCTAGAGACTCTTGAGACTGGAGCTGGAAAAGAACATGACCGTATGAATGGCTGTGGGTGGAGGAGAGTTCAACTTCTGTTTTTTCAGCATCTGGTGTATACCAAACTCCCATTACAGTCATGAGAAAAATAAAAACTAGAGTGGAAAGAGCAGCCAAACGAGGTTTAGAAGATCTGAGCTCTCCATTTTTCTTTCTGACAAGTCTTTTGATGAAAGTCTCCATTTCTTCTGTGGTAAAATACAGGTTTTACACTTATCTTACAAGATTATTATTGAGATGAATGAGATTCTGGAAAGTAGAAGGGTTTTGAAATTATGAAATGTAGAATGTATGATTGTATCCATTGATTTATATCAGTTCCAATGAAGGCCAGGAGAAAAGTTTCAGGTGTGTGGGTAGCATGAGACACTGATGTCCATACCACTTGGAATCTTTCTGAATAACTAAAAAAAAGGCTCTAAAAGTTGTGTATCTATGTGTTGATGATACAATTTTTAAAAAATTTGCTATGTTTAGAGTTCATGAAAGACATTTGTGACTATTACATTTAAAAAATGGCAAAACAATGGCAGTAGGAACAGTAAAATCACTTTTAGCTATAAAGGATTGATTCTAAAAGCTTTGGCTTTTAAATCATATAGTTTGAGAAAGAGGCTTAGTTAACTGCTCTGTTGTTCATACTCGCTGATAAAGGTTTTGAATCTAGCCTAGCCATTGTTTTATTATTCAGGTAATTATACAGTGTTTCAACAAACTCAAAGCTAATTCAAATGTGAGAGATTTCTAACACATATTTCTTAATTGTGAAAAATGAACAGGTTTAATGGGCAGAAGGATTCTTACTCACCTCTTTTGTCAGGAATTTGAAAACAGTGGTATAGAATAAGTAAAACTGAGAGTCATGAATTTCATTTCTTCTGGCTCAGAAAACCTAGTTAGGGAGCATTTTATATTAAAACAAAAGCATTTCCTTCTTTATATTTTTAATTTCAAAATCTTTTGAAGGAGAGCCTTTTGTATTTGGTTTTGATATACTTATGGATGCATATAGGATGAATACACACACACACAGAGTTCTCCTTTTATCCTATCTCTGTATTCTTAGCATCTTTTCAGTAGGTTTAAGGCATTTAAAAAGCAGAACACTGTGTGAGATACCTTAAGATTTTTTTTTTTTTTTATACCTTAGATTTGAGGCAGTGAGGAAGCTGAAACACAGGATGGATGATGAAATGGAGCCATGAATGAGAATGGGACAGGAAAAGCACAAGAGGAAGTCCTCATACTTTTTAAGGAGAGAGGCCCAGTTTGGTCCTGAATTTTTCCAGCAGCCTGCACAGAGGGAAATTTGATCAGGTACATGAGTCACCGTGTCCATAAAATGAGAGCAGAACAACTGCTCTGGCAGAAAGCTGTGTTCAGTCTCTGAAGTTGCTCACTTCGGTGGAATATTCTCACCTCAAGTTGGGCAAGAGCCTGGACTAAGTGATTATTTGGAAGAAACCAAAAAAGTTATCTTTCCTCTGAAAAAGCACAGTCTGTGTGCCTTTGTCAGTGTGTAAGTAGAAATCCAGAGGGGTTGAGATTTAATAGCCCTATCTAATGACAGTTTTAAAAATGATTTCTCATAGATGATAAAATTACTTTTTTCAATTACATGAGGGGAGAATGAAAAACTGGTAAGAAACAATAGATATAGGAAAAAGAGGAATTAAAAATAAAGACACACTCAATACAGAGAGCTAAAAAAGCAGACATTCAGACCATACTGTATCTGAAATAAGCAGCAAATTATTTAATGTTCCTGGCATGTTAAGCAATTGGAGGAGGTTTAGGAAAGGGGTGATCTCTGAAAACACTTCTAAATGTAGAAGTGATCTACTTACTGTAGATCCAGGACTTCATGCCGAGGGTCGCAGCTGTGCCTTCAGATGTCAGGATGACTTAAGATCAGTCGTATTTCTTTTTCTTTTTCATTTATTTTTTTTAGTTGGAGGCTAATTTACAACATTGTAGTGGTTTTTGCCATACATTGACATGAATCATCCATGGATTTACATGTGTTCCCCATCCTGAACCCCCCTCTCACCTCCCTCCCCATCCCATCCCTCTGGGTCATCCCCGTGTACCAGCCCTGAGCACTTGAAACATATATTATCAAGTGTGAAACAGATCGCCAATACAGGTTGGATGCATGAGACAAGTGCATGAGTTGTATTTCTTTTCTTGTAAGATGAGATGGTAGTTGCAAGACGGAAGACAGGAGCTATCCGCCATCCCATCACACTGATTATAACTGCAGAGGCAAAGTCAGGCCTGTAAAATGCCCCTTTGGTAAAATGCTTTTTCATGGGCTAAAGACAGGCACAATAAATGTCACCACCAGGGGGCAGGAGTGCACTCTGGATAAACGGAGTGGTCATGTACCCTTCTCTGTCTTCCAAACACAAACTCTCCACTAGGTGACAGCAACATGAATATAATTGGAATAGTCATTAATGGGTTATATTTAAAAAATTAATTCTTCTTTTAAGTCTGAGAGCAGCACTTCAAAAAAGTATCTACAGTTGGAATTTTTTTCTCTAGAAATTACCATTTGCTTTTAGGCCTCCCATACACTAACCTAATACACAAAACCAAAACAAAACGCCCAAAACTTTTTTGGGGGGCAAGCGGCAGTGCACATTCTAAAGAACCTGGGAAAGACTATTTGAAACCATTATTATTTAAGAGTTTACAGCTCCCAGTCTTTCTTCTCCCAATTAAAAAATTCAAAATAAGTGATACTTACCCCTTTGAAGATAGTTATTGTTTACTGACCACTAATGTGCTAAGGGTTTTTATTTAGATGCTTTTAAAGCATTACTTCATTGAATCTGGATTGGAGCTTTTTAAGAAAGCCCAGGTTTGAACTTAAGCTTATTTAGGGATATCACCTCTGCATTTTCCATAATCTTATTATGCTTTTTCTGCGTGAGCCATTTTTAAAACTCATACTGAAGGAGAATGGAACAACCCTCACAGTTATGATTTTTAGTGCACACATGGATGTATTGTCTCTACTTAAGACTTTCCCTCTCATGTAGAGACAAACATTAACCTGATGAGGGCCAATAATATATTTTGATTCTTCAGTTACATAGAAGGCTGAAAATGAAGACTGGTTTGGGAGCGATAGCTCCCCCAAAGCAAAAACTCATTCAAGCTGAAAGAGAAATGACTGGAGAGAATGGTAGACAAGGATAGGAGGGCCAGAGAAGAACGAGAAGATGACGTGGAGGGGCCAGGAGTTCAGGTGGGAAGCTTCACACTTCTATGCTTACCTCTGCTTCATGCCTTTAGAGAGCCTTACCTGTTTGTGGCCCTGGACAGCCCGATGTAACCTGCCACAGTACAAATGCTTTCCATGTGAAGCAGCTATCTGAACATGTTTGAATCCCTTAGAGGCAAACACTGGACACTCAAGCTTTGAAAGCAGAGTAATAGTAAGTGGTGGTCTCTAAGCCAGTGGGGGCGGGGCTTGCCCTCAGGAAGCCCCCAGACCTTCACTGCTGTTTGATTCCGTTCTAAATGGACTGGAACCTATCACAAAGCAGAGAAGGAATAAGAAGTAAAGGAGAAACATGCTTAAGACAATTTTTACACACAATGATTTTACTGTAGTCACGCAGTACTTTAATGTTCAAGTACTTTGTTCAATGTTCAAGTATCTTTAAGAGAAATAACAAGAAAATTATATGGCAACCCCAAGGGCGAAATCTGACTAATGGGAAGAAGAAAAATCCCTTTTTTTTGTTTCTGCCCAAGATAGTCTCGGGGTGGGGAGGAGTCTTGTAAGAGGAAAAAGGAACATGGATGGGGGACTTAGGGAAGGGAAGAGTGTCCTAGAAGGGAGGAAAGAGCGGTGACCTGCTTCTCCTTTCTGTGCCCTGAGCCATTACCCAGGCACCTGCACACAATTAAGGTGACCTCAGGTGCTGTTAACCCAAATTAGTTGAAACAACCATAGTTAACTAGCCAACGACTTACCAGGGGCCATGTGTTACTCTTAAGGCAAGCCCTATCGGGCAGGTGATATTCTCCTTTCTTGGAGAGGAGGACTTGCTAGAGGTGCAAGATTTAGCAAAAGGCACACTCAGGATGCAGGTCCTGTCCTTTCAGCAGCATCCTCTCTGGTTTTCTACAGCCTGCTAAATCCTGGAGCTACATCCTGACTGCTACCAGGGGTCACACTAGCCAATGTGGATCAATCAGTAAGCGCAGCTGGATCTAAATGCGATTAATTACATAACTGTGGCCTGTCCAAGTTTAGGTCTATTAAAATCGCAACATGAGACTAGGGCATTATAAAGGATTGCTGGGAAAATAAAAATGTTGGAATATTCCCCAGTACCCCCCCCCCTTTTTTTTTAGCTTAAACAAGAATAAAGGAAGATAAAACAGCATGAATTCAACCCAACAGGACACACAACCAGAAGTTTTTATCCTATATACCTGGCAGTTGGCCACAAAATGATCTGCTCAACTTCTCCAGTGATGACAGGGGGGTGGTAACAGTGTTTTCAAAATATGGTGAATATAGTGTAAACGTTAAGACAAAGTTGCTGACGACTGTTGGTGCTGTTTCATTCTCTGTTAAAATGTTTAATTTTGGTTGTCTTAATACACACTTAATACTTTTCAGAGGTTATGATCCCCAGAATTTCTGCTGCCCAAAGGCCTAGGCTCAGGATGGGGATTCTTATAAAGGTTTCACAGAATAAAGTAGAGAAAGTCAGCATTATCTCAAATGAAGTTTGCATTCTCCAAGGCAATTACGTTTAACTAAACCATCAATAATACATTTACACTCCATGAACATGTTTTTCTGCAACTGTTTATTTAGAAAGATTTTAAAGAAATTTGAAGTGACTGTGTCTGGGGGTAGTTTCTTTAGATGAAAAAAGTGCTAACAGTCACTATGGAAACCAAGATGCAGGCAACGAGGAACAGAATCAGACCTATCCGACGATATTTGGAATGCTTCTCTTGTTCTTCTTCCTTCTTCAGTAAGGTATCAAAACCGGGTGTGTACATTTCCCCCAACCAAAACCGTAGGTCGTTAGGATTTTCCTAAAAGAAAATTACACGGAGGATAGGATCAGTCAATGTTGCAGACTAGTTGAGATTGCAGAATAAGAGAGTATAGGTATTTTACATCCATATTCACACGGCCTTGAGTGAGGTTTAAGTGTCAGAGCGCTAATAACAGAAGCTAGGCTTCTCTTAATAGCTGGAACATGCAGCTACAGCCTCCTGGCTGACCACAAATCCTCAGCTTCAACCTGTTGGTCTTCATGGACAATTCAGTTTACTGAATAAATTGCTCACACTCTAGGGTCACAAACACAAGAATGTTTCTGCCATGTTTTTGCCAATTTAGTGTCTCTTGCAATTTATAAACAGTGTGTGTCAATCAGGTTAGTGAGTTGAAATAAAATTAAAATTCCTTGCCTCAGATGACCTTGGGGGGTTGATTTTGTTGGTATAGTAGGAATGAAGATGTTTGCTGAATTTTTCAGTAAATCCAGAAGCTGAGTTCCATGGGAGGAGGAGTAAGACTAAGAATCCAAAGTCTTCTTCATGCTTCTCAAATTTCTGATCTTCTGTATAGAGGGCTACAGCATGTTAGCATGCAGAAACTCTGGCACTGTTGCCTTTCTGGATAAAGGACCCAATATATCCTTTCCCATCCTTATTTATCCCCATTTCTGATTCTTTCACAGGCCTCGTCTCCCTTACAACACTACGGAATTGTCTTCAACTCAAATTTATCTCCTATGTCCCCAAATCATCTGCAAGCTCTACTGTCCATACATCTAAAACACACACACACACACACACACACACACACACATTCCCTGCTGTCTCCTGCTATGTGTGTGAGTGTGTGTGTGTGTACTCAGTCATGTCTGACTCTTTACAACCCCATGGACTGTAGCCCAACAGATTATTCTGTGCACGGAATTCTCCAGGCAGGAATATTAGAGTTGGTAGTCATTCTCTTCTCCAAGGGCTCTTCCCACCCCAGGGATCTGACCCAACTATGTCTCTGTTGTCTCCTACATTGGCAGGTGGATCCTTTACCACTAGTACCACCTGGGAAGCTCTTATTTCAGTGCTAAAGATGCAGTGTCTATGCCTGGCATTTGGTAGACAAACAAATAATTTATGGTGAATGCTGAATCTCTGTTTTCACAAATCCATTTCAGGATTTATTGTTTCTCATTTGGATTATTGCAATGGCTTGTAGCTGGGCTGCCCACCCTCTCTCAGCTTCTCTAGTCTCACTGACTTCAAGTTAGCCAGTTTCCACGGCCGGGTAATGAATTAGCTTATTACCCTTGTAATAACTAGCTGGTGGATTCTGGTGATTACAATATAACTCTTCCATTGCTATTAGTTTCAAAGTCCAGTCTTAGGAAAGCTATTAAAATAAAATCTGGATGATTTGTGCAGAAGGATAGATGATTTAAAAATCCTTGCCTGACTTCACTCTTATTTTCATTTTGTCTGTGTCCTAATCAGAGGCCTGCACTTTGACTGCCAGGGTGATGCCTCATTCTTCAGTAAGAACTTCCATGATGGAGACTATCCACTCCCACATTCTGCTTATAGCTTGCATTGGTAACTAAATATGGGGTTCTTTTCTCCTTTTTTATTCATAAACTTAGTAATTCAGAAAAATGGGAGTGACCAAAAGCACATGGAGCTTTCATGGCCTGTAAAGTAGTTGAAAAGGTTTCAGAAATTAAGCTGGGCTTTCCATGTGCTAATTAGGAGATGGGGTAGGGATGGTGATGAAGTAAGTTGAATTGATGAGGTGTAAGAAGAGATACTAATACAAACCAAAGTCGTGACTTCATGAGGTCTGCACCCCAGACTCCAACCTGAGGGGCCTCTGCTCTGAGGTGAGTGTGCAGGCTGGGATGAGGGCCAGCCTGGTTTTAGTAAAGCAATATATGCATCATATTCACACTCAGTGTTCCTAAACATGTCATGGTACTGCTGACAAAAAATTACCCCTCAGTGCCAATAATGTTCAGTTTCTTTAGCCTTACATTTGAACTTTATTTTGAGTCTGTTTGTTAGCCTGATTTTCATCATTATTCTATTACTTTAGCTGTAGCTCTAGCAAAAATGGACTACCTATTGCTCTGACAAACTCTCTTACTCCTATATTTGTGTCTTTATTCTTGTTACTTCTGATAGAATAGAGCTTCTCCTCTCATGCAAACAACCCATGTCATCTGGAATTTTACAAGTCCTTCAAGTCCAGCCTAAATTAACTTTTCCACAAAGGCTTCTTATAATTCAATGTGACTTTGTCCTCTTTTGAATCTGCACAGCACTTTCTAATATTCATACAGTCACTGTCTTCCTCTCTCTTGTCACTTCCTCTGTCTTGTCCTAGAGTTACTGCTTGTTGTTAATACTTCACTCAGATGAACTTTTGGAGGGCAAGAATATTCACCTTTATAGTACCCTTGTCATTCATGTAAACAACAAAGACCAGAGTCTCTAGCACCTAGTCAGGAAATGTTTGTGAACTACATTAATATATCTTTCCTAGTTGTAGGTTATTTCCTAGAAGTCTTGATCTTTGGATTCCTGATAAAAAAACACAAGATTACTGTTGCTAGGGGGAAGCGTCTGTTATGGAAACATCTCTGGAGAAGAGGCTACATTAAGGATGAGATACACTAAATTCACTGGGAGATAAAGAAACTTCAAAGATTCTGGACAATACTTAAAGGAGTGCACATTTGAGATTTTTTAAAGTATAAGACTTTAAGGGGATGTAATACTGTCCCCTCCAGAAGGAAGCCTGTAGGTGACTAGAGTATGAGGCTTAGGACAAACATACACTGCTACACTTGAAAAATGTCAGGGCTTTCTGGCCCTAGGACAGCCAAGGTTGGGTAGGAATCCAGTCCACTTGGAAAACAGAGGGTCACTTTCCCTGCTTTTCAGGGATTCCTAGATGCTCTGTTTGAAGGGTGACACAGGGGAAAGAAAAGGAAAAACTTGAGTTGGGTTTAAGCTGGGTGAATGAGTTCATTGCATACTTTTCCTGTGTTGAAATGCCTTTGTTTTGTTTTGTTACTGAGACACAGGAAAATGTCCAAAATGTAAATCTGCAATCTTAAATCACCGAGTAGGCTTGAAATAAAATGATCTTTGATGAGAACTGCCTTGCACAATGCCTAAGACACAGCAATTAATCAATATATTTGAAAAAATGTAGAAAAAGGAACTCAGCTATTCACAAACATAAATGATCTCAAAACTAGGGAAAAACACTTAATCTTGCAAATTGACTCTCACAACCTGATACCTTCCAGGTAAACCCTTCTTCTTGTCACATCATTTCTTTCTCTCTACACTGTAGTGATGCCGGTAATTGCTGAAATTATAAAACACAAAACACATAAATAAACACAAATACTGACTAGGAGAGAGAAGGTAAAGCCAGAGGCCAAAATGACCTCAAATCTGGAGACCTTTGTGCTCAGTGAAGAGTGCCTCTCACCTTAATACCCATTTCTTTTAGGATTATGTAATTGATCTCCCTCATCAATTAAAGGAGTTGGTTCTTTGCCTTGAGTACCTTCAGATGCCCAGAGAGGTTGGTATGCAGGGAACGCTTGTCATATTCCTCAACAGTCCATGAAGGATTCTTTTTTCTTTCTTCCATAGCTTCCTCAAAACTTACATCACCATATAGTGGGTTATTCTTCAGAACTGACGATAAGGATGGTGGGGGGCTGTCTACAGTGATGGTGCCCTTCGCACTGGATCCCTTCAGGCGTTGAACAGTAATATTCTTCTTTTCTCTCTGTCAGGAGGCACAGTAACAAAGTTTCTCTTACCAAGAGGTCACTGATGATAGGGAAGGAAAATGTGAGATAACTATACCAGAAAGTTTAATGATTCTGCCTGGACCCAACGGATTAGGACAATGAATGAAGGAAGAATTCTAGGATCTAGTTTGACTTAGGATTCTATCACTGAGTTCTTTCTTTGCATGTGATTGTGTTCAGATTCAGTAATCATTCATTAAAATGCTATTTTACAGTGACAGAGAAAGAACAGCGTTCCTTAATTCAAACAGTAGAATTCTAAAGAAAGTCATTTTCTCCAGTTCACTTGCACTGAGACTTAATGACATGTTACCTCGTTTCACTGTGCATTCTACGACTGAAAAAAATAATATTTAACATTGCTGTATTAATCCAGCAAAGTCAAGATTAAAAGGCATTTTACAGCTATGCTTTGGCTTTCATGGGAACTCCCTTGGGACTCCAATTTTGGAAAGCTTGAAGAACTAAACTAACTTAGCATTGCACTCTTACATGTGACTATAGTTAAGTAAGTAAGTAAGTAAGTGTTAGTCGCTCAGTTGTGCCCTACTCTTTGCGACCCCATGGACTGCAGCTCACCAGGCTCCTCTGTCCATGAGATTTACCAGGCAATGATAATGGAATGGGTTGCCGTTTCCTTCTCCAGGGGATCTTCCCAACCCAGGGATCGAACCCAGGTCTCCTACACTGCAGGCAGATTCTTTACCGACTGAGCTACAAGGGAAGCCCATATGTCACTATAGACCAGCTGGCTATTGGATGGCTCTAATTCTGAGTTTCAGATCTTTAAAAATTTTTTTAAAATTAAACCATGATATACATGTAGAAAAGTACATATGTTATAAATGTAGAGTTCAATAAATTTTCACATATCAAATAAACCCAAGATACTACCAAAAAACAAACCATACCAGCATATCCCACACTGCCTTCTAATTACTCTTGGTTCCCCTCCCCAAGGATAATCAGTATCTCCAGAATCCCCATCACAGGTCAGGCTGTACTCATTTATATAAATGGATTATACAAAAACAATGTGGTTTTTCTGTGTCTGGTATGACCTTCATATTTTTACTTTGCCTTTTTTTTCTTATGACCACAAAGCTATTATGAAGATAGAAAAATTTCAGATTAAAATTTATTCATTGACCAAATAAACTGGAGAAGAAACAGAAAGCATATAGAGTAATGTCTTATTTATCATAGGGCATCAAGGGAAAGGAATTCCACGTAAGTTAATTTTCAGAAAACTTAGGTTTGACTCTTAAAAACTAGTGACACATTTCATTATCTTACAGCAATTTTTCAATAAATGTGTTTCATATATCAGCCTTCCTAAACAGAGAAGTTTAAGTAGCAATTAATGTTTTTCTGAGTTATATTTATAATCATCAATGCACTGATTCCCTCATATCTATTGGGGAATATAGGTCACATTAAATACATATTTATATAAGCAAAGTTGTAAACTAATATATGTAGCTTCCTTCCTAAATGGCTGGTAGGCCCCACAAAATCATCTAGATAAAGTCATTCATATTCTCTTTGGCCTTAGGTTTCCCTAATTTTCTTAATCCAGACTTTTTTTAGATAGGTAGAGATCAACTTGGAGGTCTTATCTGACTTTATTAGATTGCTGGTCTGTTCAAAATCAATTTATATTCTATAATACTGAAGTTTGCAATGAAATAATTAATCATTTTGACTTAGCATTCATCTTTAAGATGGATGAACTCATGAAAAATGTTTCTGGAACTGAGAAAAAACAATTTGATATAAAATTTAGATAGTTTCAGTTTAGCATAATTCTGACTCAAGTTTTTTGCTTCAAGGTTAGATATCTATGATCATCTTTGAAGAGAAATAATCCTTCTGACATTGAAAAATTGGCTCTGTCTGTTTTCTTGCCTGCTCGACTATTCCTTGAGTTTCCTAAATAGGAAAGCTCTATAAATCAGAAAAATAGTTTTAGGGGTTAAGAAAAAAACATAATACCCTCCATTACAATGTATAAAAACCTTGAGAAAGGAATATACAAAAGATATAAAAAATAATCAGAGCTATTTTTAAAAGGACATTCAAGGTCTTAATTCTAAACAGTATTCTTGACTGTTTGAGGTTTAGAATTTAGTGCCATTTATTTTTTCACTGTATGACAATTTCATGTCTGAAGGACATGTGAAGGAAAAATTGATAGAATAATTTTATTAAGAATTTTATGGAAGAAACAGAATATACTAATTGTGGTTGAGGTTCTTCTATATTTTGATAAGCTAAAAAAAAATCTCTTCAGAAAGAAAACCAAAGCATGTCTTTGATTTTAATTTTTTACTCTACATTCTACATGGACTACGTTTATCAAAAGGAAATACAATACTAATTTCATTATTTTAACTATATGGGCTCTAAAATAACTTAAAAAAAATACTGTTTAAGGAAATAAGCTTCAAAGCTTACCTAGGCTTTTCTGCATTAACCATTACTTTGTCCACATATCCTTTATACACTTTAATCAATATTTATCCCACTTATGTATAAGTAAACTATCATTTAATAAAAAGAATGAAATAGAAGACTTTCAGACAAACAAACACTTAGAGTATACAATTAATAGGCCAATAAAGAAAGAACTTCTAAAAAATATACTTCAGGAAGAAGAAACCTGATATTAGAATGAAAGGTTAAGATGCAAGAAGAAATGCTAGGAAAAACAAAGAAAGAGAACAAAAGGAAAAAAAGCTGATGAATGTATACAGAAATCTAAGCAAGCACTGATTTTATGGTAAAATAGAAATAATAATCACTAATTTGTGAGTTTTAAGATAAGAGAAACCTAAAACTAAACAGTAAAATCTTTAACAGATATACTTGATTGAGAAAGTTCCTTTCTTCTTTTTGACCACACCGCATGTGGGATCCTCATCCCTTAACTAGGGGTTAAATCCATAGCTCCTGCAGTGGAAGTATAGACCCTTGGGCCACTTGAGAAGTCCTTAATTATGAAATTTTAAGAAACAATTTCTCTTAGAGGATAGAGATACTACTTAAAAATAGAGAAAGAATGTGTAGATTCTAAATCAGTAGAGCAGAAGAAAAAAGACGACAGAAAGTTAATATAAAAGATAAGAAACCTGAAACAAAGAATACAGAGGATAAAATCTTAGGAAACAGAAAAAAAATTGAAACAGTCATGTTAAACATAAATAGATGAAACCCTCTATTTAAATAACAGAGACATCATATGAGATTTTTAAAATACTTAAAATACAAGAACTCAGAAAAAATGAGAGTTGAAAGTACATAAAAATATATAGTAGGCAAATATAAACAAAGAGCTGGTGGTGTGACTGGTTAAATACTCACTAATTTCGTTTTCCCTTTCTGAGCACAAGACGTGACTGCCTTCCTCAGGCTGTTTGATGTTAAACTGGGCCCACTCTCTCTAGTAGTTGACGTGGGCTCAGAAGTAACAGAGATCATTTCCAGGCTGAGCCCCTGAATTCTCCAACAAGATTTTTGGCTCACCTGTCCTCACTTCCCATTTTCTACTGTGTCACTGTAAGCAAGGATTCTGAGGTGGCAGAGCTATGTAAGATGAAAGAACTTCAAGCCCTAGGATACTGCTTGGAAAAGAGCTGCCCAACCACCCCCAACCCCAACCTATCTGTCCTTTCTCAGACTTTCCATGCACAAGTATGTTTTTCTTCTTTTTAGTTACTGATATTTTGTCATCATAGTGTGGCCTAGCCTACATTCCCCTTAGTACAGAAAGTGGTAGCTTGAAATTCTACAACTGTTGGCATTGGCTTAGCAGTTAAGAGGTAGAGAGGGATGAGAGGAGTATCAGAAGCTGGATGAATGGCTATTCATATCATACAGCGAGAAATGTTTGGTGTGTTATTTGTGGTCATTTGGAATCTAATCCCCTGTAGCTCTATGAGGGATAAGTAATACATGTACAAGGATCCCAGCATTGCTATATTATAAGAAAGAGATGAAATGATAGAACTGAATCATTTGCAAGAAAAAAAAGAAACTATGGAAATTTGATGCCTTCTATTGTTAAAAATCTGACTGTGTTTATAGACTCCAAACACTAATTGAGTTCCCCATCCCCCCAAAAAAAGAAAGAAAAGAAAAAAAAAAAAGCCCATTTAAGTTTCCTAGTAGAATGAAGTGACTCAGGATGAAGGTCATGTTAGGGTGTGGTTTCATAACTATTACTCCAGACTGTCTCCAGGCATTTGTCATTGAGTCAAAAGACAGAGAAATGAAGGCAGAAAAGCAAGCCATTAAAGCCTATTCGAGAGTGATGCCTTCAAGGAACTTAAGGTGTATTTACTGACGTATAGAAGTGACCACAACAAAATAGAAATGATTACATTAATAAGTAGCTCAAACTAAGTTTTATCAGAAATGTTTCACCAGAGAAACCACAAGCCTAGACCAAAACGTTTTTAAAAGATTGTTAAAAATTACAGACTAAACCAACAAAACAACAGTAATCCTATGCCTCCAAACTGGATGTATTTATTATTAATGGACTAACAGGAGTGAATTTTGAAGCCTCTATAGCCTTGAGGGGGGCCTGCTTTGATATGGCAAAAGACTTTGATATACAAGGGAATGCTTCCTAGTGCGTTGGACCAGGAACTCTAGAGAACAATGCCCCAGGAGATCTTCTAAAGAGGAGAGTCCTGGCCTAATCCATCTTCCCCACCATCAAGGAAGGAGGGCCACACAAACTATTCCCAGTGGGATCTCAGAATTACTATGAAGCAGTCTCTGCGTTCTTTCATTTTTCCCATTCAGGAAGGAAGAATTACTGCAGTGATTGCATTTCTAGTGCAGCAAAGATTATAGGACTGTATGGATGGCGCACTGGCTAAACGTAGTGACTGCCTCTGATGGGGGATGAATGTTGGTCAGAGTAAATCTAAGAATATAGTCACCATTAAATAATAAAGACAGGAGAGATCAATAAATATTAAAAGAAAAATAACCCAGATATACGATGGAATGAATCAATGATATTGAAAGCTATTTCTTTTTGAAAAGGTTCAGTTCAGTTCAGTCGCTCAGTCGTGTCTGACTCTTTGTGACCCCATGGACTGTAGCATACTATGTTCACAAATTGGGAAAATCAAGATCCTAAAGATGTCCATTTTCCCCAATGTGGTTTATACTTACAATGTAATTCCTATCATAATCATAATCCAAACAGGGTATTTTGTTTGTATTTTACATGTGAACCCACAGACAACTTTTCCTAGAAAGTAGCTCCCCACTGGTCACGATAATTCTGTTTTCCAAATTACTAAGTGTTACCTTTATGAAACACAGATTTGATCATGTGATTCTCTTGCTTAAAATTTTTCATCAACCCCTCTGAACTTTCAGGATAAAATCTGAAATCTCAGACAACTCCCATCGAGCCTTCCCAGTCTGACCCAGACCTCTCTTGAACCTCTTCTGCTTTCCCCTCCAAGTCACCAGGGCTCTGGAGTCCCACATGTGATCCTGTGAGACACTGTGCTTTAATGAGGTTTCAGTGCCAGAGGCATGTGGGTCTCATTGAGGAGCAGTGATGGGACAAAGGGGGTGATGCTTTTGGCAGCATTATCATCCAGGGGGAAGTGCTGACCCCACTGGAGATTTTGTAAACTACATAAATTTAGCAAAACTTGATAAAATCATGTCCTGACAATTGCAAGTAAAATCCTGAGCAACTCAATGATGCCCCTTAATCTACTTTCTAGACAATAATTTATGTACCTCAAAAGTCCTACAACATTTGCCCAAATATAAGCTTATACAGGCTGCTATTATTGAAATAGGCTATGGAGTACTTGAAATAGAGACAGTCCTGGAGAAGGCATGACATGTGTTCACAGATAGATTGTGAAATATAGTTATGATGCACACAAACAAACAAACAAAGCTGAGGGAGAAAGAAGAGATATTATAATTTAAAGGGAAAAGAGAGCTATAAGACTGAAAAAAGAAAGTGAGGAAAGGTGATAAGGAAATACACCCAGGAAATGACCTTGTCTAGAAACCAAGGGAAGAGCAACCTCATTACCCTTGATCTTCTCCTCTAGTTCATAGGTATAGTACAGCAATCCCCTGGGTTCTCAAACAGACATCATAAAAGTCAGGAAAAGATATAACAAATAGATTAGTCTGGAAAGATTCTGAAGTCTAACTGCTAGTCAGAAGAAAAATCCCACTACAATATCTGAAAAAATATATTTTATCATTTATACCCAAAGAAAAGGAATTTTTTTTTAACCTTCCTCTATAAAGGGATTGGAAGAAATATTTGGAATATAATTCCAAATGCCTTCATCAAATACATGCCCCCAATTATTTCACCAACCAGAAATATTAGATTTTGGCAAAAGTTTGTTCATTGCATTGAGAAGAAATTTATCAGGAAGCCTTCTTCATTTCTCTAATGAAAGAATTAAAGAAAAAGTATAAATCTAGTTAGATCAAGAAGTACCTGCTTGTACTCTTTACCTTCAGACACAGGTGACCTGTGTATGCATGCTCACAAAGGGAATGAACAGTGTCCTGAGACGCTGGCGTGCCTGGGGACATCCTTGCTTACTTTCCTATATGCATGGTATTGCTTCTGCTCATGTAAAATGGCTTAGAAAATTGCCTCTGAAGGTGGAATGTGAATTTCAAAAAAGCATAAAACATAAATCATGAATATAAATACACTACTTTTTTTTTCTTCTTGCTGCTCTGTGCAGCATGTGAGATCTTAGTTCCCTAACTTGGCTCCTGCAGAGGAAGCAAAGTCTTAACCACTGGACTGCCAGGGAAGTCCTTAGAAGGTTCTGGTTTCAACTGTTCGGTTACTACCAGTGTTGAAGGCAATGTTGGTAGGTTAAGTCCTTTGACATTTCTTGAGGTAGGCTTAATTCTAAATACTATGTACCTGGGGCGGGGGATGGACAGATTGTGAGCCAAAAAGGTAAGCTAACACAACTCTGAAATTTGTGTGGATTTCATGGCAGTATATAATCTAACTGCTTGATTTGGCCACAGAGTTTGAAGAAGTACTGACTACACCCTCTAACACGCGCACACACACCCCCCTCCATCCACGGAATATATCAAAGAATGCAAGTGGTATTATCTGCTATTCCAAATTCTAATGACAGGCTAATTTAAACACATTCGGGGATACTATTAATAGCAAATGATGATGATGATACCCATTTCTTATTCTCTTAAAGGAAACTCTGTCAGTTGTTTTTACCTTATTTGCTCTCACTTTTAAGGAACTATGTAAAGTGAATACTACACTAATTTTGCAAGTGGAAATACTAAAGCATGGGCTGAATAAGCACCACAATCGATGCCTCTCAAACTGGTTTATTGTGGATTTGGGACAAGAAACCAAGTTTCAAATCTCCTTGTTCAATGTTCTTCAATTGACTTAATGTCTCCCCAAAGAGTGAGACATTAAGCCAACAAAGTGAGGGTTTTAAATTAAGAACTACTTAATGCCTGCCTGCCACCTCCCGTACCCCTAACACCTCGGTCCACCTGGTATATTCAGTGCCCTTATTCCAGGCATCACCACAGCTACTTACAGCTTTCATACATTCCTTTCTTTCAGATTTGTCTTTTTTAACCAATGAATATTACCACTCTTGAATTTTTAAGATCCAACCAAGGAGAGAAGCATTAGTTATTGACATATTGCAATCTACAGTATCAAATATAATTGTTTTTACTCATTTGAGCCACACTTACCCAACTAACTAAATTTGTAATTGATTTACTTCTTCCCTTCAAGCATTATTTAGTAGTGTATTGGTCTTTATTCAGTTATTAGACGTTTCTTCTTAGGGTAAAGTTATAACTAAATCAAGTTTATTTATAGTTTATGATTTCCAATGACACATTCAAAGACATATGAAACAGATTTTTACTTCCTTGGTTTGCCCTGTAAAACTATTTCTATACCTCAGGGCCTGTTGGGAAACAATGCCCTTTAAAATTCGCATTTCATTCAGGTTTAGGAACAATATTCAACGGAGCTTTAAACTGTGAAGTTCCACATGAAGGAAACAGGTCAACTCCAGTACTAAACAAAAGATGTTAAATTGGTGTGTTCCAACCTCAAAGGAATTTATTGGATATGTTTTCTTAGACTAAACTTCATAGCACAGGAGGGCCAAGGTATTCTAAGCTGACTTTTGAATTATTTTAGTTCATGATATAAACAGTAAGAAAGACAAAGGAGGAATTTCATCACATTTAACTAAGCAAAACACACAAAAAGCAGCCACCAAAAAGCTGTGGAGGATGGGTTTTGAAAATTACAAAAGGGAAGGATGTAAAATTTAAAACAAGTCAGTTGTCATAATAGGCTGCCTTACAATGGAAATGAATTAAAACCCTCATAGGTGGAGGAAACACTTACATAACCATCCAAGTGTACTTGATTCTAAATGATCTCACGATAAAGGTCCCGAGAAGCCCACAAACACACCACAAAGGAGTCACTTTACACCAGGACTCATGAGTAGCAACTGTTTCTTAAAAGAAAACAAATTTCTGTTTGGGGAATTTGAACCACTCCAAAGGATTTAATGATTTGCAGGGGTTTGTAGGTCAGTCACATCTGTTCTGAAATGAAACGCTTCTTCCTGTTTCTAAATTGACTAACCCTTAACCCCGTTAGCCCTCATGTCTTAAAACAAGGATTATTCCTATTTCATGAGCTGTGCAACACTCAGGGCCTTTATGTTTCTTTCAGCACATGGAACTCATCAGTTGTATCCTCTTGTGGTTAGCAAAAAAGGAAGATGCAGAAGAAGCGAGCAAGAAATGAAGTCTGGGTTTGAAGGTTGCTTGTTAAGTCTTGTCTACATGGACACCCGCCGAAACAAAGAACCTCTACAATAACAGCCAGCACCTTACTCAGGTACAGAGTTCCCTCTATTTTCTTTCTTTCCATTGTTTCACTGTTTGAGTTTCTTCCCCATGAGATGAAAGGGAGCCAGTCTAAATGAGGTGGAAGCAAGATTTAGTTGTCTTAGAGGCCACGTATGAGCCCACAGTGTGAGCTTCCGATGCTTTATGCCTAGACTACACCAGAAGACAGAGGTGGGGTTCCACCCAGAGCCTTATCTGCAAATGTAGTAATTGATCTGAAAACATCCGAAGGGAGGGCTAGGCAAAAATCGAAAAAGACGACAGTATGAGAAGCTGGGGCATGAAGGAAAACGAATGGTTGAGATAGTTCACGGAGTTGATCAAGTGACCAGAGAAAGTCTCCTTCCCTTGATGAAGAGAGAAAGCCCCTTTCCATGGCAAGAGTGAGCAGCTACCCTGTACTCTGTTGCCTGTAGCCTTTTCGCACAAATGATGAAGTAGCAGGTGCCGAGAAGACAGCAAGCCCCCATCTACATATACGCGTGCTCCCAGACCTTACCTGTGAGTAGACGAGGTTTTGCCAGTGTTGTGCAGCAGGGTAATTCCCTCCCGGAAACCTCACCAGGCTGGCCTGGAGAAGGGCTGAGTTCCTCATTAAAGACTTCACATCGAGCTGCAGGAACTTGTCAGGATGGTTGTTATTTGGCAAAACAGAGAGATCCATGCCTCCCTGCATCTACAGTGGAAAACAGAGGTGAGCAAGGCTGCTGCTCTCAGAGTGGTCCATAATTAATGAGCCTGAGGGTGCCCGATGGTGTGAAACCATGGCTGTGGGCTGTGCTCAGAAACCACTCTCAAAATGGCATATCAACACAGGCGACAATGGAGCACCCTGACTTACCCTTCACACCTCACACACACACACACACTGTCTCTCTCTATCCCCTCGGACACTTGAATGGAACAGCTGTGCCCATACTTATTCAATTGTAAAGGATGAATGAAGATGTCTCTTCATACAAAAATAACAGCTTAAGAGGAAGTACTGTTTGGATCAAGGCTACCGGAATTTCAGGGTTCCAGTCCATAATATGGAGCACATGCTACAGTCACCTGTAGAGACATTAACTGATACTTCTCTTTGAACACTGCTGAGCTGACCCAGCTGGCTTGGCCTTGTCTCTGCAGCCTCACATGTGATATGCAGGATCTTGTTTCTTCTCATGTTTTGACTCCCAGAGTCTCAGGGTTATGTGAAACCTAACCGTGTTTAGGTTGTCAGCCTCAGCTTGAGGGGGAAATAGCAAGAATTTGCTTGATCGTTTGCTACAGTAATTTAGTGCCCCAAAGTACTGCCTTGGTCCATTCGCTCTCTGAGGTCTCTTTGACTCTGCTCTTAGCTGTTTAAACTACTGTGATGGGTCTCAGTGTTCACAAAGTGGACTTGGAAAGAAAGGAGAGCATGGTGGCTGGGTCTGGATGACGCGCTGTCCTTGTGAATCCATCTGCTGCTCAATGAGCCGAGGCAGCAGTGAGGTTATGGAGAGCATCTCAAGCCAGGAAGTTATGATGACTTTAAGGTAGATAAGCTCTCTCATTACAAGCCACTCTGTCTCTGGAAAACCATACTTCTCACCAGGAAAATACGGATTTTCATCTAGAGGAAGAGAAGGCAAAGGATAGACACATCAGCAATGTTTAAAAGACACAGCCTGTTATGTTTGTGCCTCAGATGCAAACCCATCTGATTCAGCAGGAAGGATTTTCTTACAAAGGTAATGGGGTTACATGTGGAATATATCAGCACCAGATTTCAGAAGAGTGCCCTATGGCTTACTAGACTCAACAGCCAGGATGTTCTTGAATCAAGCAGACGCTAGAGAGTACTTCCCTTATTTATGGCAATAAACATGAGGGTGTTGAAAAAAATCATGTGTCCTACTGATAGCTGTAAACTGGATTAACAACCAGTTGTTTTCTGCAATAATTTTTGGACCCAAACTCTATCACTGTCTTACGATACTTAAAATATTTGAGTTTTTTTTTTTTTAATCAGTACACTTAGCAGAGAAAGTAAGGAGGACTTCACATAACAGTTGATAACAAAAGAGTTAAATCATCAGTGTTTGAAGAATCAAGTGTGTTATGTATATGTACACGTCCTTGGTATTCTCTGGACTTCTCTGGCTGCTGCTACAACACATCTAACGAACAAATATTTCTCAGGCTGTTTGCTTTTCCTAAAAGGTTCTTTGGGGAATAACACACATCTTCAAGAAGAACCTTACTTCTCTTTGGCTCTCTACATTGGCAAGTGGAGACATAAAACCCAGATCCAAATATATTTGATTAGATCCTTTCCTTAGCCAAAGTATGAGGTAGGTGAAATGAGCCATCAGTTTTCCTTAGGCGTCCTTCCTTTTAGATTCCTCCACTGTGCTCTAGATGCTCAGAAGTTTGTATACTATCTCCTTCCTTTTATAAGTTCAGTTTCAGACTGCTTATCTTCTCCCACCACCCTTTGTCTACCATCACCCCTAAACCATCAGTTCTTACTTTTCACAACTATCCCTATGGGTAGCCTACATGACTGACAATCAGGAAATCATGCTTTCTCCTCCCTCTTCTGCTGCTGGCCAACTCCACTCTTACCCCACCCCTAAATCGTGCCTCTGTTGAGGCCAGTCCTTCTGCCCAGAATAATTTCTTCCCCACCCTGGATGTTGACCACTTCCTAAATTATACTTCACAGGCCATGGCTGACACCCAGCCTTTCACAGAAACTTCACGTATTTTCTCTAGTAAGAGAAATAATTTTTTCTTCCTTTGAAATTTCAGAGTGATCTGTTTATCTTATTGTCTTTTGTTTGATAATATATTTCTCTCTGTTTATGAGCCACTCTACTGGATATATTATGAAAGAGCAGCCATGTTGGATGCTTCCATCCTTACATGAGTCCTGTCTGAAGAACCTCACAAAGCCCTTTGCTCAATAAATAATGGTGGCTGTTACCTCTTTCAGAGCCCTAAAAAGGGCTCTTCTCTGACAGGAAATTGATAATGCAATTAAATTTGATTAAAAAATGGCTTAGTGATCTGTTTTTCAATCAATCATGCCCAGTGAAAAAAGGATCCCATACTCCATATTCTCTTCTGGTAGTTTATAATGCACAGACTCACATGGAAGACTGAGAAGTTCCACTTCATTAATGCTGCTGCTGCTAAGTCACTTCAGTCGTGTCTGACTCTATGCGATCCCATAGACGGCAACCCACCAGGCTCCGCCGCCCCTGGGATTCTCCAGGCAAGAACACTGGAGTGGACTGTCATTTCCTTCTCCAATGCATGTAAGTGAAAAGTGAAAGCGAAGCCGCTCAGTCATGTCTGACTCACAGCGACCCCATGGACTACAGCCCACCAGGCTCCTCTGTCCATGGGATTCTCCAGGCAAGAGTACTGGAGTGGGGTGCCATTGCTAGCATTTGCCAAATTTATTTGATCACATAACACCCATTTCATTGTTCTCCTTTCAACACTACAAAAAACTGACCTGAGAGTGATTGGATAAATACTGTCTTAGGGGTTCTATCTCTTCATTGTCACTAACACCTTCAATCTAGAGGAACAGAGTATAAATAAATATAAGTAGTTACACTGTAGGAATAATCTGGTAGAGATCTGGATATCTGGGCTTCTCGACTCTTACCATGCACCTAATCATTCGTTCTCTTTCTTTAAAACAAATGTTCATAAAAGCATCATTTCTCCTTGGATTTGGGCCTAGAAGTCTTTTGAAACATGAGAATGATAAAAATAGGATTAAATGTGGTTCACTAGGCAAAATTTTCTAAATATTAATTAAGCATATTCTTTTTTCTTCTCCTCACCCTCCCTCAGTCCCTTCCTTTCTTATGCCAAACCAACTAAAATATCCGAAAGTGTTTCCACTGAAAAAGTCTGGACAATATTCAGATGAACAGTTGGGGTTCATAAAATTATCTTGCTTTGAAAATTAGTTGGATAGTTTTGATTAGAAAGAAAGTCTGTGGTTAGAGTATAAATCCTTCTGCACCTACCATATAACATTTTCAAAACTGATGAGTGAGGGAGGCAATCAGGTTACCTGAGTGCACAGAAGCTGACGTCAGAGTGTCTGTGACATGCAACTAGCCTGTGCTCTTGGGCCAGTTGCTGAGTCTCTCTGGGTCTCAGTTTCCTCAGCTACAATGTGAAGGTAATGGTTCCTTACAAGGGTGCTGTGAGGTTTAATACGTATAGTGGTTAAGAGAATGCTTAGCATATATTAAGTGCTTAAAAAAGGCTCACTGCTATTTTAAGCGAGCATAAGACTTCATTTCGGTCATCTCTGATATAAAGCAAAATGGGGGAAAATAAAAGAAATTTGAAGTCATTGTGCATGTGTGCTAAGTCGCTTCAGTCATGTCTGACTCTTTGCAACCCTTTGGATTGTAGCCTGCCAGGTTCTTTTGTCCATGGGATTTTCCAGGCAAGAGTACTGGAGTGAACTCCCACGCCCTCCTCCAGGGGATTTTCCCGTCAGGGATCAAACCTGTATCTTTTATGTCTCTTGCATTGGCAAGTAGGTTCTTTACTGCTAGTTCCACCTGGGAAGACCTGAAGTTCTATTATCCACAGTTAAAAAGCAAATTTCATTGGGATTGAGATGCACACACTGCTATACTTAAAATAAATAACCAACAAGGATCTACTATTAAAAATATTTTTAAAAAATCATAAAAAAGGCCAACTTCATTTTCCAGAATCCCCTTCTTCCTGTGAGTCAGTGTTAGAAGCGGCTGAAAGAGAAATTGGCATGAGATTTGGAAGGCAAAATTGCATCCATTCATCTGAACTTCTTTTTACAATCAGATACAGTGACAGAGGCAGAGGCAGGTTCTAGACTGCCTCTGCTCTCCTGAGCTCCACATCCGTTTCTCATTGCTAACTCTAGGTCCTGATGACCATCAGGAAATAGATCCACTACCCAACGTCTGGCTGTGGTCCTACAAAGGAAGAAGCTACACAGAGGCAACAGCATCTCACAGACGTCTTTACAAATCACTCTTTCATAGTTACACTTACCTAGTTGTGCCTGGCTGCTCAGACTGGTTGGTGACTGCTCTGATCCTTCAACTCCTCTTACGGACCTTCACTTCCCCAGCTCTTCCTGCAGCTTTATGAGTTCAAATCTGTCATCCCCTAACACAGGTTTGCTGATTGAACCCTGGCAACTACCAGTACCAGAAGTGCTTTCAGGAACAGAATTTTACAAATGAACCCTGGAGTTAGTTCTCTGATATGACTAGACTTAAAGGCATTAATGATAAGTAGTAAGTTGGGACCCTGGTCATTCAGAGCAGAATGGTTATATAAACTCTCACTGATAGCTACCTGGAGTGAAGTACCTAGAGAAAGCGAGGTCCTGGGTTACAAAATACCTGCTGCAATAAAAATTTTTCATAGAAACAAATAGAAAAAGGACTTTGGGGTTGGATTCATTGCTTCTAAATCAGGTGGAGAACTTAGAGAAAGAGATATGCCTGGGGTTTTACATTCACAGCTCAAGGTCGAAGTTGGGAACCAGAAAGCTTTTATGACTGTCTTGAAATAAAACCTTTTTAACTGTATTGCTGATGTCTACCACCTGTGCTATCTTCTAAATCTATATTCAGATTCAAGTCCTGGAAGATCCAGAACCAGATA